TGATTTCCTCAAAGAACCAACTCTTTGTTTCATTGATTCTTTGTATTCTCTTTGTTTCTATTTTATTGATTTCAGCTCTCAATTTGATTGTTTCCTGGCATCTATTCCTCCTGGATGAGTTTCCTTCTTTTTGTTTTTTCAGGTGTGCTGTTAAGTCACTAGTGTGAGATTTCTCCAACTTCTTTCTGTGGGCACTTAGTGCTATGAACTTTCCTCTTAACACTGCTTTCATAGTGCCCCATAAGTTTGGGTTTATTGTACACTCATTTTGATTGAATTCTAGGAAATCTTTAATTTATTTCTTTCTTTCTTCCTTGACCCATTGGTGATTCAGTTGAGCATTATTCAGTTTCCATGAGACTGTAGGCTTTGTGTAATTGTTGTTGTTAAAATCTAACTTTAAGCCATGGTAGTCTGATAAAACACAGGAGGTTATTCCAATTTTTTTGTATCTGTTGAGATTTGCTTTATGATCGAGTATGGGGTTGATTTTAGGGAACGTTCCATAGGGTGCTGAGAAGAAGGTATATTCTTTTGTGTTGGGGGGAATGTTCTGTAGATATATATTAAGTCCATTTGAGTCATAACATCTGCTAGATCCCTTATTTCTCCATTAAGTTTCTGTCTGGCATACATGTCCATTGGTGAGAGTGGGGTGTTGAAGTCTCCCACTATTGGTGTGTGGGGTTTGATGTACTAAGTCTTAGTAATATTTCTTTTACATATGTGGGTGCCTGCTGTGGGATGTTCTGTATGGCAAATGTGTTGCTAATTGGTCAATAAATAAAACACTGATTGGCCATTGGCTAGGCAGGAAGTATAGGCGGGACAAGGAGGAGAAAAAAGCTGGGAAGTGGAAGGCTAAGGCAGAGAGAAACTGCCAGCCGCCACGATGACAAACAGCATGTGAAGATACCGGTAAGCCACGAGCCAAGTGGCAAGGTATAGATTAATGGAAATGGATTAATTCAAGCTGTAAGAACAGTTAGCAAGAAGCCTGCCACGGCCATACAGTTTGTAACCAATATAAGTCTCTGTGTTTACTTGGTTGGATCTGAGGGGCTGTGGGACTGGCAGGTGAGAGAGATTTGTCCTGACTGTGGGCCAGGCAGGAAAACTCCAGCTACAGGTGCCCCTTTATTTGGGGAATGAATGTTCAGAATTGAGACTTCATCTTGGTGGATTTTTCCTGTGATGAATATGCAATGTACTTCTCCAATTCTTTTGATTAATTTTAGTTTGAAGTCTATTTAGTTAAATATTAGGATAGCTATACCAGCTTGCTTCTTAAGTCTATTTGATTGCAAAGTCTTTTCCCAACCCTCTACTCTGAGGTAGTATCTGTCTTTGAAGTTTAGGTGTGTTTCTTAAATGCGGCAGAAGGATGGGATCCTGTTTACGTACCCATTCTGTTAGCCTGGTGAGTCACATTTTCTTTATCATTTATGTGATGGTAGACACTTAAATTCCTTAACTTGATTACCGTGCATAGCATTCCAATGAACATCAGACCTCACTAGCATTTTGGGTAAATGATTTTAAATGTGCATATAAGTATGCACAGGATAAATGTCTATGTCCAATTATTTCTTTCAATGACTTCTCCTTAATGTTTGGCTACCACCTCAACCCTATAATGTTGTTGAGCCAAAGAAGTTCATATGCCACAAAATTCAAACACAGTTTCTAGTTATACAGTTGGGCAAAGTACAAAGGCTTTGCTGGATACAATAATGAGAAGCATCTCTGGCCTCTTGAACATTACTGATGAAGTAAATATTGATATTGACCCTGAGATTAATTTAATAGCTTTATTTTATAGATGATGGTGAGGAAGTGTTTTGAACTGTCCTACTTAGGTTTCTTTTACTGTGGTGAACACCCTGACCAAAAGCAACTTAGGGAGAATGGAATTTATTTGGCTTATGTATATGAGGTCACAGTCTATCCCCAAGGAAAGTCAGACAGGAATTCAAGGCAGGATTCTGGAGGCAGGGATGAAAGCTGAAGCCACAGAGGAGTATTCTTTACTGGCTTGCTCCCCATGACTTATTCTGCCTGCTTTTCTTAAACAACTCAGAATCACCTGCCCAGAGGTGGCCCTGTTCCCAGTGGCCTAGCCCCTCCCACATTCATCACTAATTAAGAAAATGTCCCACAGACTGCCTACAAGTCAATCTGATAGATGAATCTTCTTAATTGAGGTTCCTTCTCCCACATGACCCTGACTGTTCCAAGTTGACAAAAAACTAACCAGAACACTAACCCAAAGAGTCAACCACTAATCAGGACAACAGAAATAAACCACGTGCAAAGGCCATTGCCACATACTCCAACTTCTTATAAAATACTGGTAGTAGAGAAAGTGGAAAATACAAATTAAGAGCATTTCACAATTTCTAAAAAGAATATAATAACAAAACAAGTAAGAAAGCTCTTCTTTATGTCTGCATTTTCCAAGAACATTTTCACATGAGGTTTTTCAGAGTTTATGTATGAATGCTTCCTGTGACAGTGTCTACACTGTCTGTCTTGTCTGTGCTCTGCTAGGTTAACATGTGCCATCTACACAGGGCACAAACCAAGAACTAGCAGATTTGTAAAGCATTCAGACTTTTACCATGAGGAATATGAAAAGAGGTCAGATAGAAACAGATGTACAGAGCATCTCACTGCAGACTAACTTCTGATCCACATAGAAGGCAATTCATAGAAGAAGTAATTTTTATGTTCATTCTTTTCTTCAAAATTAATCAGTGTTTTCCACATATCAAAACAGATTTATGGGGCTGTGAAGGTGACCTCTTCAGTAATGTGTCTGCCATGCAGCCATGAAGACCTGATTTCAAATGCCTACAACACATATAAAAGTACACAGGCACAGTACTTCTCATCTGTAACTCCAGTGATGACGGGTACAGAGGTGGACACTTGGAGCTCATTGGCCAGTCAGCCTAGCCAAGTCAATGAGCTCTAGATCCAGTGAGGGACCTGCCTGGATAAAGAAAGTGGAGAGTCATGGAAGAAAACCTGGCATCAACCTCTGACCTCCACATGCAGATACATGTATGCTCACCAACATGCACATGAGCACACACTCACATAAACATGAGTGCAGCCCACACAAACCTGTATATATAAGACCTCTCTCTCTCTCCTTCTCTCTCTCTCTCCCTCTCTCTCTCTCTCTCTCTCTCTCTCTCCCTCTCTCTCTCTCTCTGTCTCTCTCTCTCTCTCTTACACACACACACACACACACACACACACACACACACACACACACACACACCCCATGACAATAGATGCTTCCTTTAGTTTCCTTCAAGGAAGCTCCATGGTCAAGCCTCTGTGGCCACTGGGAGGTACCCTGAGGGTGTGTGTGTCAATCAGTGAGGTTGTTGGGCAAACAGTGGTATGCCACACATAAATTACGGTGAAAATTCTGAAAATTGTAATCCTGATTAAAAACTATTTTTGGAATATGCTATAGTCATTAAAAAGATTTAACACAAAAGGATATCTTAAAAGCCACATTATAGCTCAAATTAGACAAGGACCACAAAGGTGACATCTATAAGACAAGTCAGGAAAAACTGAGTCCCATCCTATTACCCCATGTTCACATTCAAACAAAGCAAATATATTAAAGAAAACTGGCACTGGAGCAACAAAAGATGAATAAATATGTAAACTAAAAACATTTATGCACCAAGACACTATAAACAGAATAAAAAGGAAATTCACAGAAGGAAAAAAATGTATGTGGATCATGTATCTGGTGGGGGACTCACATCTCAGAAACAAAAATAACTGTAACTCAATAGCAAGGAAAAATGAAGGGCCAGTGAGATGGCTCAGCAGTAAAGATGACTTGATGACTTTGAGTACAATCCTGAAACCCATGTTGTAGAGGGATCAGCTCTTGTAAATTGTCCTCTGACCTCCATGTACATGCTGTAGTACACACATGCCCACACACATACATGCACTAAAGAAATAATTTTGGAAAGAAAAGAAAACATTCCTATTTAAAATGGGAAATTGCAGACAATTCATGAAAATCCAATGAATTGTGATTTATTTTTTTGTTAGATATCTTATTCAAAACAAGAAAGAACATAAGTTTGGGGAAGGATGTACACATTGGAGCCCTTGGGTTGGGCTGGTGAGGATATAAAATAGTACAGTGGAGTTGGAGACAGGACAGCAGTTCCTCAAACAATTAACCCAGTGGCCTATGATTTGGCAAATTAAGCTTTCTACCTTAAAGAACAGAAGTCTGGGGTTCAAGCAGATGTACTTGCACACTCAGCAGCATGGTTCACACCTGCCAAAGGTGAGAGCAAACCACATTTCCAGACACAGATGAATGGGAAGCAACACAGCACACACACACACACACACACACACACACACACACACACACACACACACACACACAAACACACACTAGACTACTATTCTGCCTTACAGAGCCCAAGAAATCCCCACACATGCCACAATTTGATGAGCCTGAGGCCATTAGAGCAATGGAAACAAGCCAGCCAAAACAAACAAAAACAAAACCCAAAGAACACCAAAACACAGATACTTGTGTGGCTCCAATTCAGGGTTCCCATATTAGTCATAAATGACAGAATGTAGAATGGTTGATACCAGGAATCGGGAGTGGGTAGTATGTGGAGTCTTCTTTCAGAGCTATGGGCTTCCATTTGGGAAGATGAAAAAATGCCCTACATTTAGAGTGTGGTGATAGTCACATAACATGAAGCTAAAACTCCTAAAATGTCAAGTGTGTAGTATGTAGAGTTTCATACTATTTATACACAAATATATGTGAAAAAGTGAGTTCTTCCACTCAACCTTCAATGCACCAACACTCTATTACATGACAAGATGTTTATTCTGTTCTTGTCAGGAATTCCTATTCTTAATGGATTTATATAAGCTTGAACAAAGTAACAACATTTTTCTCAAAATCAGGATCCAAATTTGCTTACCTGGCCTGGACTTCTGTACAATCACTTCTTAGGACACGGAAAGTGGTACCCACAATCACAGCCAGTATGACTGTGATAATTAGCTTTCAAAAAGAAAATGGAATAAAAGAAAAGATTTCCATTAGGAATAGAAAGTATTCTATACATTGTGCATTATTTTAGGATATACAGTTTCCTAATCAGATCTTTCCAGTGAGATAAACACTACATTTTGGCCAGAGTCCCTAGAAGAATATTAACACACATGTTAATAGACTGCTTATGTGTTAATCTGAAGATTAAGGTCTCTGCAGTCTGAGGCTCTGACAGTACAGACCCTGGAAAAGCTAAGATCTCTCCCAGTGCTCCACCAGGAATGGCCAGTGAAGGGCTCAGTTCAGATTCTGAAACATGGATGACACAGGTGGAGAGAATGCAGGTGCCTGGGGAGGTTGGGGACAAACCAAAGTAAGTGACAAGGTGTTCACCTGAACTGAGACCTCAGCTCTGGTGCAGCGAACATGTGCAGTTTCTACTTCAAGTGGTTTAAAGAACTCGGGCTTTCTTTACTCTAGTTAGAAACAAGTTCACCCCAGGCCAGGGGACAGCTCAGTGGCAGAGCCCTGCACAACATACACTAGACCTAGCCCTGATCCCCTCAACTGCAAACCAAATAACAAAACTGAAGATGACTCACAACCCAGTTCCTAGCAGTGGGATCTTGTGTGCTAAGAAGGGGGGAGCTGGTCCTCACCTGTGTCTCCTCTGGGAAGTCTGTGCCTGTGTGGGAACGAGCACTATTGCTGTCACCACAGTGTTCAGACAGCGTCCTCTGGGTCACCTGATGCCCCATTGCCCCTCATCTCTGTCACTGCTGCTCCATCAACGTCAGCCAGAGCGGCCTGTGCTCAAGTCTCATCTAAGCTGCCAACTCCTGCAGACCCTCATCTACCTCCATCCACTCGGTCTGTGCAGACAGTCACAAGGACCTGCACTGCTTTGGTTTGGGGTTAAAATGGCTTTAAAAGGTGCTTCACTTAACAAAGGTGTGAGGCTACATAATGCTGTAAGTTATTTGAAAAAAAAAATCTAACTATTATTCCTCTGATGATGTTTTAAAAGTAGAATATTATGATCTAAGGGAAAGTATCCTCTTATGTAATTTGGTAAGTTAGAAACCAATCCCAGGGCTTAGAGATAAAGCTCAGTAGTTAAAGCTATTTGCTGCTCTGGCAGAGGCAGCCTGGGATTTAGTTCCTAGCACCCAAACTGACCCTAACAACCTTCTGTAACTCCAGTTCCAGAGGATCTGATAACTTCTTCTAGCCTCCATGGGCATGCACATGATGAATAGATATACATGCAGGCAAAACACCCATACATAAAAAAATAAATAAATAGTTTTAAAAAATAGTCCTCAATTTCTAGCATGGCTAACACACACACACACACACACACACACACACACACACACACACACACACACACACAATTCTTACCTCATGATATTGCCTCACTGCTAAACAATGAGTAACACAATTTGATGAATATAACTCACTTTTTCCCAATCATAATGAATATTTTTTTTTCAAAAAAGAATGGACACAAAAATGCCTTTTTTGTGACATAAATGCCCAAGTAAAGACCAAAGTGTCTGGAGAAACTGACAGTATAACTCCAATGGTAAGAATATTCACATATATGCAGGGAAGGAAGCAGCATTGAAATATGAAAAGGGCAGCACACATGTTAAGAAGTAAGTGGTGTTTCATTACAGCCAACAACACACGACCTTTCAATGTTCAACAGAAACTAAATTCCTGAGAATAAAATAACAACACACTAACAGCAGAACTGACTATAAGTTCTGGTTGGACAGGGATGTAGGTCCATGGTAGAGTGATTGCCCTCTCATGGCTGAGGCCCCAGGATCAAACACTAACACAACAGAATCCTCAACATCATGAAATAAATATGAATGAATAAGTGATGGCCCAAATGAGCTGGAAGAACCACATTTCTTTGTGACATTCATGTTAAAATAACAGAAAATCTTAAGGCATGATGATTATGGTGATATTTTATTTGTATTAAAATATTATTTGTATGTTAATAAATAAAGTTGCCCGGGGGTCAGAGCTATTAGCAAGCCATAGGAAAGCAGGGCGGTGGTGGCGCACGCCTTTAATCCCAGCACTTGGTAGGCAGAGCTGGGTAAGTCTCTGTGTGTTCAGGGATACAGCCATTATTGGATACACATGCTTTTAATCTTAATACCAAGCATGGAAAACCTGGAGGCCTATACAGACAGGCTGTGAGGAGGCGGTCATGTGGTTGGGTTTACAACCAATGAGAAGGCAGGACAGGAACTCTATATAAAGACTTTAACACAGGGGTAGCTCTGGTTCGGAGAGGTAGGACCACCGCAGGAGGAAGGGTAAGGTTTTAGCTCTTAGCTCTGACCTCTTGGCTTTCTTCTTTGCATTGGTTCTGTGTTTATTATTTAATAAGAAGGTTGGATACATCTACATTTGGCGCCCAACGTGACAAGAATTCATTAAAAACCGCTTGGCTTGGCTTGGCGGCAGGTCCGGTTTCCAGCCTGGGCGGCCCGGCTGCCTAGCTAGGGCCCAGGCCTGACTGACCCGCAGCTGGAGCTACTTGCAACTGCTACAAACAACTCAGACCTGCCCTGCTGAACAGGGCCCCTGCCTGTAAAGCCAAGGCTTGACTCGGCTCAAGCGGCTATACTTTCTCTCTCTCTCTCTCTCTCTCTCTCTCTCTCTCTCTCTCTCTCTCTCTCTCGCTGGATTCACACCTCGAACACCAGGTGGCTGTGAAATTCCCTGGGATTCTACTGTTCTACCCAGACTTGGTAAGTCAATTAACATATCTATTTAAAAGAGAATTTTTTTCTACATTAAAAAAAAAAAATGGGCTTTATGTGTACATTGGAAGAAAATTGGGCTTTGTTTGAAATTTTAGGCACTCTGACAATGGAACAACTATATGAAAAGATTAATATTGATTGAATTATTCAGTTTATTACTTTTCTTATCCTCATTTTACTATTTAAAAAGATCATCAACTTAAGTGCCAGGATAACAGTCTTAGAAAAACTTGTTAAACCGGTAAAAATGAATTATAGAGAAATTCAAATTCAGACAGAAGAAATAAATAGTGAAGTTGTTTCAAAATTGGATCGTAAGGTTACAGAAAGAAAGCCAGTTTTCACACAATCACCCTTAATTTATCCAGTAGCCGTACAGCAGCTACCTGATGAAGAGAATGAACAAAATACTTGGGTTCCAGTTGAAATGTTAGACTTACGAAGATTTAAGGAGGCAATAGCATCTTATGGCATGCACTCCCCATATGTAAAGCAAATGTTAAACACCTGGTCAACTTGTAATAGGATTATACCAAAGGACTGGCGGGAATTGGCACAGGCTGTTCTTGAACCCGAACAAAATCTCCAGTGGAAAATGTGGTTCAGTAATGAGGCTAAAAATATAGAAAGACAATGGAGGGATAGCGGAATACAAGTCTGCCAGGATCAGCTTATTGGCGAAGGCCAATATGCTTCAGTACAAACACAATGTTCATATGATGTCCAAACCCTACTTCTATGTAAAACGGCAGCTTTGAATGCATGGGACAGAGTTGAAGAACCAGGAAAAAAAACTGAGTCATTTACAAAGGTTATACAGGGCCCCAAAGAATCTTTCACAGATTTCTTACAAAGATTGACTTCAGCAGTACAAAAAATGGTCCCGAATTCAGAGGCTAGTCAGATAATAATTGAATCTTTAGCCTTTGAGAATGCAAATGCAGCGTGGAAAAGAATAATTAGGCCGTTAAAGGCAAGATCTGCACCTTTGGAAGATTGGATTAGAGATACAGTTAATGTAGAGGCTTATGACCATGATGATATGTGGGTAGGAAAAGCAATTTCAAAAGATTTGAGCAATGTTAGATGTTTTGGATGTGGAAAGCAAGGACATTTGAAAAGGGATTGTAAACAGGTCATTCCTAGAAATAATGTTTCTTCAAGGAACACTGGCAACAGAATGCCCCTTCCTTCTGGAGTATGCAGAAGGTGTGGTAAGGGAAAACACTGGACCAACGAATGTAGATCAACAAGGGACAGACAGGGTAACCCTCTGCCTCGAGCTTCGGGAAACTCCCAGAGGGGCCTCAGGCAGGCCCCCACAGTAAATCCAGTTCAAACCTTTCCTGCAGTTGTAGAGGAAACCCCTACTCAAAGCAACTAAATAACCAAATGTCTATTGGAATAAATCATGTTAGTCGAGATGATGAAACAGAGAAAATAGGAAATACAGGAAAAAACATAAAGAAAATTTTTTGGCAAACTTCTATTAATGAACAAAGACCAAAACTAACAATAAAAATAAATGGTGTTTTGTTGTCTGGTCTGGTAGACACAGGTGCTGACATTACCATAATTGCACCAGAATTTTGGCATCCAACTTGGCCTCTTCAGGAGGTAAACATTCAACTCTTAGGAATTGGGACATTATCTAGAGTGAAACAAAGTGTAAGATGGCTTGAATGTATAGGTCCAGAAGGACAGAAAGGAAAATTAAAACCATATATGGCTAACATAGCTATGAACCTGTGGGGTCGAGACTTGTTACAACAATGGAATACTCAGATTAATATCCCTCCAATCTCAGAAACAAATCATAAATTAGTACATGTTTCTGAGAGAAATATTAAAAGATATTATTCTAATGAGTGCTCACCAGCCATCCATGTCATACAAGAACAGGGCACAACAACTGATAATCTTCCAAAAACATTAACAGCTCTACCTTTAAAATGGTCAACAGACAAGCCTGTATGGGTTCAGCAATGGCCTTTAACAACAGAGAAACTCCAGACTTTACAAGAGCTGGTGGAAGAACAGTTAAATGCTCATCATATTGAAGAATCAACCAGCCCTTGGAATTCTCCTGTATTTGTTATAAAAAAAAAAATCTGGTAAATGGAGAATGGTAACAGACCTTAGAGCAATTAACAAAGTAATTCAGCCAATGGGCTCTTTACAATCTGGAATTCCTTTACCTACTCTGTTACCAAA